ATAAAATAAAATAAAATAAAATAACAAAACAAACAACTGAATGGAGCCAGTTTGATAAAAACTGTCATGACAAATGTTTCATAAGTCGGCAGAAGTTGTGTAAAATGTAATAATGTGATAGAGCCTTAAGACCCCAGGGCTTGAACCCTTGATCTTCCTGCTGTGAGGCAACAGTGCTGACCACTGATCCACTGTGTTTCCAAATCATTTCACAAAGAAAACTAAAGCTCCATGTGCCAGACTGAACAGGTTACTGACTTAACTTCACTATAAACAGATAGAAACACTGAAGCAGTTTACACAAGTCAAACTAAAACACATCCCAAACTGTGACCCCGGACCCTGGCACCCACCATCACACTCTGACACCAAGTTATTAAACTGCTGCTTTAAGACGAGAAGCTTTTGTTTTTTTTTCTGAAACTGTGGTCAAATCTGCAGATCAGAGCTCAAATCTGTCCGATTCACAGGTGTTCAGCTACATGCTAATGCTAACAGCTAAATGTGGCAGCCTCTAAATCTCTTCTGCAGTTTTTCTAGTTGTATAAATGCACATTTCTATTTAAAAAAACAACCTTGAAATAAAAACAGAAGTGGCCTTCAATCCATAGAACTAAACTAAATCAGGGACAAATCTTCAAGAAAATAATTTAAAATAACAACCAGGGGCGGACTGGCCATTGGGAGTAGCGGGACTTTTCCCGGTGGGCAGGCGCAGGCAGTGAGGAAAAAAGGGAAAAAATGTTGTGTAGTTGCGCTCAGTACCAATAGATGGCGATTATGCACCAATTCATTGTTTACCAACCATCAACAAAGACCGAAGAAGAAGAAAAGTTAGAAGAAGAAAACGAATAAAAATAAGAGGAGCAGAAATGGAGAATAAACGTAAGAGAGGAGAACAAAAATTGAGAGAAAAGAAAAATCATCTACAAGCAAATTCAGCCAAGTGTCAGAAACTGACATTTATTTTCTGCTGGTGCATCATCATCATCCTCATCCTCACTGGAACCTACGTCTGGAGAACAACATGATCGGGAGGAGGACGGCAGTCATGTAGGTGGCTGTATTTGTTTCTAGTTTTCTAAATTTAAAAATAATTCATTTAGCTGTTAAATAAATAAAGCCATTATGATGTGTGGACTAGGTCCAAACTGTGCTCAGTAGCTGATCATTTTATAAAACTGTTGCTTTAAATGTTTTAACATCAGTTTTGAAAATTTACATCGTACATTGGCATTCTGAAAGATAAAAATCATAAATGTTTGTGGGTTTCACAAATAACTTTGCCCACTTGGAATTTTATTTTATTTATTTATTTATTTATTTATTTAAGGTCTAACACACTTCATGTGCTGGAAAAAGAAAATGATACCACATTATGTTATAATGTTATTTTTTGGGGGGTAAAATCCAAATGAGTTAAAAATGACCATGTGGAACTCTGAGGGTCAATGCCTGTGAGCTAACTGCTGCTCTGCTAGCTTAATAACTTTACTAATTCCTCCACATTACATCGTTAGATTTTGTACAGTGCCCTGAGATGATGTTTGTTGTTTCTGCCTCCACCATCAGCCTCCAGAAGTTGTAGACATCCTCTGCCAGCCCAGACCTTGAATGGGCCAGTCAGGTACTAAATTCCCGGGCCTCTTTTCAGCCCCAGTCTGCCCCTGATAACAACGATGGGTTTTTAACTGGCAATGTTCATTAAAGTCCAGACAAACCTTCCCTGATGGTTTTGATCCAACGGTCCTGCTCCTCTCTATAATCTAAAGAAGTTTCGTCTCAGAGCTCACAGTCAGTGCAGACTGAACCAACATTAACTCTTCACTGAAACCCAAGATAATCTGATTATAAAGGTGCTTGAAACAAATCTTTAACGTTACGTCTCTTAATCCAAACATTTGTCTCATAAAACACAACCAGCTGTCAGGGTTCTCAGCTGTGGTACTTTAAAGACCCCCCTTACAGACCCCCGTGTCCCTGTGTGACTCACAACAAACGTGTTTCTGTGTAAATGTCACAGTTAACGACACTCAGACACTTTCAAAGCCGAGTGGGGGGAGGGGGGGGGGGGGGGGGGGGGGGGGTAGCTGTGGACCCTCTGTTTGTTTTAGACCAGATTTCAGGACCTGCTGGTCCCACATGGACCAGACC